CAGGATTCCAATTAAATGTCCGAATGGAGCTCTACAGCAGCTCCACTTAAGTGTGCGTGTGAACGTGCTCACTGTCTTTTCATTGGTGTTATTAGTAATGAAAAATATCTGGAAACATCACCAATCATCTTAAATGAAGAATATAATGGACCAATCAGAGAGCAGGAAGACATGATGCACAGTTAGGTGGTGCCGTCAGCTGGGAGCCATACGGAGGGGAACGAGGTTTAACACACACACAAAGAAAATGTTTGTTCTTCTATTCTTATGAGGACCTCTTACGGTAATGCTACTTTCTATGTCACTAACGGGAAAACCTTGTTGCTTAAAGTTTTCACACATTTTTCCAAGATGACTACCAAGCAGCTTGCTTTGTGATTTACTGATTTTCAGTCTGCCTCTGCACTGTTGAGTATCTGCAGAACCTGTGAGTACAAGGAATTCCTTTAATGAGATATAAGGTAGTAGATTAATCTGTGAGTCAGAGTGACACAGGCTGAACAGTTTGCTTACATATCTTCTTTTCTGTCACTGTCAGATTTGAAGTAAAAAAAAAAAACTCAGAGGTTATTGTTTGTCAAACTCAGCTCTTTGTAATAACAGAAAAGATGAATGCACAGACGACCCCGGATTCCAAGCGTGAGAGCTGCGACCCCATGAAAGAGACAAGCTCAAAAGTCACATTGAGTTACTTTAACTTTAAGAACCAGGAACTAGTTTTTAATGAGCTTTAATTGTTATTTTAGCCTGTTATTGTCTGTGTTTTTCACACTTATCAAAACAGCCAGCAATGAAGTCTTCTGATTGCCTCAGATGATGGATTTCCTCCTCAGCATGAACACTCAAAAGGGTCAAGACTTTGTTGTCGGTCATCCATTGTGTCACTTCATCAGATTATCAATGCATGACGAACAAAAAAACAAACACGCTGACTCGAGGCGTAATGGCTGACTTAAAATGCTGCAGCCTTGGCTTATTAGAAGCCTCTTCTCTAAAGTCTCTGTAGTTTTGAAGAGCTAACCCTTTGCAGTGAAACTTTTTGAGGGTTAAATAACTTCCCCAGGTTTTAATCTAGATTCTGGTCCCTGTGGTAAAAGCTTTGAGATTCCACAAAGGTTCCTGGTTCCCCCCAGGGGAAAGTTCCTGCAGTGGAAATGCAGCTTGTGTGAGGGTTCACAGAAGGGTTCAAATGTCAATCAATTCTTTTTCAGATGCCGGGTGTTCTTGTAGTTAGTTTTTACTTTCAATTGATTGGCTGAAATCTAACCTGTCAGAATTTAAACATGTGATGGAAAACAAGTCAACACTTCACTGATTAGAGGGGTCACAAACTGGACAAGTTGAAACTCAAACAGGAATCTAACCTGAACACAGGGTTCAAACAACAAGTGACACAAAAACACAAGATGCTAGCATCTGTTAGCATGCTCAGGTCCACTGAACATTTTGTTGTAGCAAAGTTAACCTAAAGAAAAACACACACACACAACCACACACACACTAACATAGTGAAGGAGGTAGAGAGGTTGAGGGAGAAAGAGAGAAAAAGAGAGAGAGAGAGGAGTAGAGTGGCTTTCGAATCAAAGAATCTGGAGTCAACCTGACGCCAACTTAATATCCAAGTGAATCACTGCAACACACACACAAACACACCCACACACTAACTACACAACTACACATTAATAACTCTGTACTACTTCCCAACACAATTTAAGGAGGAATGTGGGTGTCAACGTGTGGATAAATGTGTGTTTCCTACCTTGTTGTGTTCTGTTGGAGCGCTGCAGCCTGACTGAAGGGAGCAGAGAGCGGCAGCCTGACCACACACACACACTTACACACTCACACACACAGACCACCCCCCCACCATCTCATTCACGGGCTGAATGGCAGATGGGCGGTCCCAGGAGGAGGACTGGGCAGGGGGAGGGTGGGTCACCACGGCAACAAAGACTTTGTGAAAGGAGTGAAAGGAGGAAGGAGGGAAAACTTGGCACTGGAGTGATACCTGGACTTCACAGACGCACACAAACACACGCACACACTAAAACACACACGAATGTTTGAACTGAAGCTTTCTGACTTGACAAATCCACGATGTGGAGATACGAGGTCTCCAGCTGAGAGAAGACTTTCCTGCTGTGACTGTAAGAGTGTGTGTGTGTGTGTGTGTGTGTCAGGTCAATACATCAGCCCGTCAGCGTATCAGAGTGGAAACTTCACAATAAACTACAGTCACTTCACTGCACACACACACACACACACACACACACACACAAACACACACACACACACACATTAATAAAGCAGTAAATAAAGTTCATATGAGGACACATATTGAAGACTGCTGCAGAGAATTCAAAAGACTAAAGATGAGTAACGACCAACAGAAAGTCCTTTCTCTTTTTCTGGGTGTCATGGTTACACATATATTATGAATTTGCATCTTTAAGTGAGTTGAATTTTTTTTCGGCTCAAGCAGGAAATCATTTTAATATTTTTCTTGAGACGCCAAAAGATGTCTGCATGAATTATGTTACTGATTGTTGTTTCTGCATAATAATAATAATTATTTGTAGAGCACTTTTAAAACCAGGATCACAAAGTGCTTTATAGAAACTAATTTAAAGAGACAGTCAGGATTATAGATTTAAACGATAAAAAGATTGTAAAAGTTAAAACGCAGGCGCCGCAAAGCCTAGCTGTTACATCACGTACCCCATGTACAGAGGCTACGGTCCTCGTCGCAGAAGCCTTGGGGGTTTGGATCCCATCTCGCCAATTGCTACATATCGTCCCCCACTCTCTCCTCCGAACATTTCCTTTCCCTCCCCAGCTGTCTTTTCCAATAAAAGGCAAAAATGGCCCCAAAATAAGAACAAAAAAAGTTAAATCGTGGACATCAAAGCTCTAATAAAATCAGCTGTCAGATATAAAGTCAAGTCTGTAAAAATGTGTCTTAAGACAAAAATATTAAAAGCTGATACAAGGTCCGCACACCGAATACTAACTGAAAGACGTGTCAAGAGCTGAGCTGCCATCAAAGCCCCGTTTGACCCCAACGCTGACTCAGGCACCGTTAGCTCGCACATCAATGAGGCCTTTTTGGGCAGTAAAAGCTCACTCACATATTCCGATGGCAGGACATTTAAAGCTTCTTAAGTTTTGAATAAACTTGTCAAATTAATTTTAAATGACTTTGGTATCCAGTGCATCCGTTTGAACCGTTTATTGGTATTAAAACGCTCGCCGGTACGGGATAAACAGAGCATGAGAAATGTTAGAAGATAAATACACACATCTTGGAGAAGGCAGTCAAATTCACCAAGATGTCGATGAAGCTTTGAAATCAACTTAAATATTTAATTTAGAAAACAATCATATCACTTCTGAAAATGTACAAATCCTGATATTAATACACAAGACTCAAAGACACACACAGACACACACACACACACACACACACACACACACACACACACACACACACACACACATCATCCCTCCTACAGTACAGGGTCATGTGGACAAAGACCACCACCCCCTACACACCCCTTTACAAAAGGCAGGGTCCAGTATACAAAACAATATTGACACTCTCTCCCCCCTCCTCACCCAAACCTCCCCCCTGGCCTCAATACAAGCTGTCAGTTTCCCTGCAGGAGGACGATGTGAGGAGAAGGAGGAGGAGGTGATGTGTCAAAGCTACATCAGGCAGACATGAAACACAGAGAAAGGAGGGGGAGGCTATCAGGACGACTTAACGGTTCCTAACTCAAGATCTTGAGAATGAAAAACCTAAAAAGTCTGTTCTCATTGTGTTCATGAGTCAGTGAAGGTTAAGAGAACAAATGATCTGTACTTGACTCCAGGACTACAAAGGTCTATGATAGATTCTAAATGGTAAATGGTAAATGGATTTGCGTTTGTAAAGCGATTTTCTAGTCTTTGGACTACTCAAAGTTCTTTTACACCGCAGGTCACACCTTCACATTCAAACACTGATGGTAGATGCTGCTGTGTAAAGTGACCATCAGAAGTAACTAATCCGTTCATACGCATTCAGACTCTGCCGACGAAACAGCAGGAGCGATTTGGGTTGAACCCCCGACCTTTCGGTTGAGAGACGACCGACTCTACCAACTGAGCCACAGCCGCATTTACTTGTTTTTGAAGGTTTATATGAAAGTGTTATTGTGTCAGATTATTTAACTTTCAGAGCTGATTTCAAAATCTGGAAGAAAAAAAAAATGCTAACTAGATGGTGGGCAGAAGATATGAATATGAAATTACTGAAGTAGAAATCTTTGGGAAAAAAAAAACCCAAATACATTTACTTGAAATAGTGAAAAGGCCGTGAAATAATGTGGTTCTTTGTCTCCAGCTCACTGACAAGCACTGGGATCAAAGTATGACGCAGGCACAGAAGGAGAAAAAATAAATCACAGAGCTGCTGAAACATCCAAATCAACGGTCGACTGTTTTTTCATATCTGAAATACATTATACATTACATTAGTGTTCCTAAAATTCAACCACAGTGGCGAGGTTGGAAAGCCAAAACTAGTAGGAAAGAGGAGAAGCTAACTTTAAATATGAAGTCTGATTCAAAGCAGGTTAACAAGAGACACTGGAGGATAGATGAAAGCAGAAAGTCAGTATAGCTGCAGGCCCATAGAAACAGTGAAATTGCTTATTTCCAAAACTTTGGTACTACGTGCCCAAGAGTTTAAAGTGAGTTTTAAAGTGTCAAAGATTGAGCATTATTAAGTGGATCACTCCAGAAATAGCGAGCTCTGATGAAGTTTAAATTATATTTCAAGAGTTAAAGTTGAGTATAGAGGGTTTATGGTTTGTCTCAAGGCTGCAAAATCTGTCTTAGCAGTGCTTCACAGACATTTATTGAAATGTAGAGGGTCCGACAAAGGCTCCCCAGGAATGTGTGGCTTTTTGTATGCAATACTGTAACACCATCAGCTGGTTCCCAAACAGTAACAATACCTGGTCTAAGAAGCGATAGAGGCAGACGGCCTGCTCGATGTTCCTGCCTGTGGTTTTGACCCGCTGAGAGAAATCCTGAAGCTGAGCAAAGAAAGAATGAATTTTATCCTCGTAGACGTGGAGGTCAGCTGATGACATGTCGCCCCAACGCTCGACATGACTCAATAATGCCTCGCCTCGACTGCATCGCTCCTGCAGAGAGAGAGAGAGAGAGAGAGAGAGAGAGAGAGAGAGAGAGAGAGAGAGAGGAAACTGGTCAACACAAAACAAAAAATGATTCATCTGAGCAGTGTGTGTGTGTGTGTGTGTGTGTGTGTGTGTGTGTGTGTGTGTGTGTGTGTGTGTGTGTGTGTGTGTGTGTGTGTGTGTGTGTGTGTGTGTGTGTGTGTGTGTGTGTGTGTGTGTGTGTGTGTGTGTGTGTGTGTCGTACGTATGCTGTGATGTGGAAAGCTTTGAAGTCTTGTTGTTTTTTGTTCAGAAGCTCCAAAGATTCGTCCGGTTCATTCAGACTCTTCAGATTAACCTCCCCGACCTGCTCCAGCCACGACCTCACCTGATACACACAAAAACACATATTTGACTTATGAATAAAAATGCAAACACACTTTACAGACACGTGTTGTCTTGATACGGACCTCTGTGAAACCTTGCTCCAGTCGGCTGAACTCCAGGATGAAATTGAGCTCCTGAGTCCTGGAGTTGGAGAGCGTCACCAGGCGGTGGAGCAGCTCGTCCACCTCGTCGTACAGAGTCGACACCGTCTCCACCGCCGCCCGATAATCTTCAGTCTCGCTGAGGCTGCTCTCCTCTCTGCGGAGTCGCGACAGCAAGGCTCCGCCCTCCTGCTGCAGCTGCACCAATCGGCTGTCTTCGAGAATGCTGCGCATCACAGCCTTGTACCTGGACAGCAGCAGCTCGGCATCCTGGGAAAGAGAGAGAGAGAGAGAGAGAGAGAGAGAGAGGATGGTAAGAATTAACCAGCAAAGCTATGATGATGTTTGCCACTGTATTTCAGTGGGTGTGATTGTATGTGTGTTACCTGAGCGGCAGCAGGTAGAGGAGTGGACTGCAGGATGTTGATAGTTTTCTGCAGCAGGTTGATGACATCTTCACACTGATTGGTCAGCTGCTCCACTCTCTGATGGGCAACACACACACACAGGTATGTATGAAGACTACCTTGTCTTGTTAGACATTCAGATCAAAAAGATGTACAAAAAAGAGATATGGTTCAGGGTTAAAAATCTGATCCTGGACTGTCACTGCATGGATAGAAATAATGAATAAAAAACACAGGCTATGCTTTCACACCATTTGGCAAATGAGAAGAAGTCCCAGCTAATTGCAGCCACACTCACAATGATCTATTTTAGTGTGATGGTGAGATAAAAGCTGAGGAGAGAATTGAAGAAAAAGTGGCTGAAAAAGATCATTTGAAAAACAACTACCTCCAGGTTTGTCACAGTCCGATGGTGGTGGTTTTAAATGTGTATCATATTGTCATTGCAATATTGAGTATTGCTATCACGCATAGCGGATCTTTCTCACATTGTTAAATATTTAAAATATGTTTTTTAAACATTGAAAACACCCTTTTCATCATTTTGTTTCCAATGTTGGATTAGCTCATGTGTTGGGACCAATCAGCGGAAAATTACATCACTCCATCCATAACAGGGGTCATAATAGTGAATAACAACTGTTCATAAAACAATACATCCTCTATTGTTTGTGTGCTATGTGCAGGGCACTGACCGATCTGTAGCAGAGCCAGCTGCTCTGACTGAAGCTGAACGATCCTCCAAACTCAGCAGGAAGCTGACGGAGCTCCACGTGTTTCTGAACAGACTTGAGAGAGCTCAACACCTCTACCTGCAACACAGACACACACAGGTTCAGAAAAAAACTTCACGTCAATAAGAAAAGCGACAAGGTCAGGTGAATGAACGGGGTGTGATCAGGTGTCAGCTGTTACCTGTAGTGCTGCAGGCTTGTCCGGACGCAGAGACGAGTCCTTGTTGACCAGCAGCAGCACGGAGTGGATTGAGCCTGGTATGTTCTCCTAAACACAGACACACACACAACAATACAGAAGTACTTTAGTAAAGGTGACAGCAGGTAATCTGTCGTTATCTAACTCTGACTGAAGAGAAGCTAGGGTCAATTTCAGACATCAGCTGCAGAGGAAGATCTTCTTCAACGAGAATCAGTATATATATATATATATATATAATTATTATTATTATTATTATTATTTTTTAATGTGAAGTTTGGGCTGACACATTATTGGCTTCTTTCTGTGAGATAATAATGGCTCTCACTGTGTCAGCGTGGTGTGTCGGTCTGTGTGCCAAACATCACAACCTGTCTGACTTTGTGCACGCTTTATTACTAAACTAGAATCACTGCCTCGAGGTGGATTTTGTCTGCCAGTCAGACGAGTTGCACTTTGAGTTTCCCTTCAGAATAAGAGCGTAAGTGTGGATGGTTTCATTTGATTTATTAGAAAGAGGAGGCAGATTGTTTATGGATGAACTCTGGCCAAATGGTTGAGGAGGCCTTTGGCATTGTGCGACTGTCGCCCTCTGCTGGTTAGTGACCAATCAGAACGCAGTGTGAAAGACCCAGGACCAAACCTAAGCTGCACAAATATGTTCACAACATTTTCAGATTCCTAAATCTCAACCCTAAAACATGCATATAAACATATACAGATGATAAATGTCCATGAGGCCTGGAGTCGTGTTTAGTACCACAGCAGTTACCTTTATTAAGGACAACTTGCTTTACTATTTGACCCACATTAAATCAAATAAGGTTATAAAGTAAATCATGTGACTCCTGCTGTAATCACTCCACCTGCCTCCTGTAAGACTCACCTGTAAGGACCTGAGGGAGGAGAACAGGGCGGGAGCAGGAGCAGCTCTACGGGCGTCCACCAGCACAGTCATTCCCAACGCTGCCACATCCTTCCTGTTTGCCACAGTTAGTGATGTCACAGTGATGTCACAACATAGTGAAGCGACTCTGTAGTGTCAGCTGTGTGCCAGAAAAGGGGGAAGGGGGGATGTTCTTACCTGAGGGTGGATGTGTAGTAGAGCAGGAGGCGGAGCAGCTCTGCGCTGTCACAGTCGGGATTTGACCACACTGTGTTGCTAGGGCAGACGGTCAGCAGAGCCCGACCGCTACGATCTCTGGTTCCTGCAGAGAGATGCAGAAGAGACACTCAGGACATTAACTCTTTTGTCTTTACCAAACTTAAAACTCCTGTGAGGAACTTTCATATTTTCTCCATCTTGGAAACCCCTGTTGACAACGTGTTGCATCTATTTCTTCCTGATTTTGTCCTGCACGTGTAGGTAGAGTTTCTCAGGTCATACTGTATATAGTAAGGTTGTCAACTACTACTTCTACTTTTAGGGCACCGACTTAATTTCCCAGATATGTTTACATTAAAGAGTGTGCAGAAGTTTTCCTGCATTGTTCAGCCTTTTAAAACAAGATATTACCAATTAGAGGATGCCTACTAGGACTTCTATTTTTTTTTTTTTGCCGTGGTACAGGAACAGGTATGGATATTGTTTGATTTACTAGAATCGTACTGAAATGTAAAACTCTGGTATTGTGTCACCTCTAATGTAAAGTCATCAGTATCCATCTCAGTCTGTTTTCTCTAATCACTCCTCACATGAGCTCTTTAGTCTTCCGTTTTTTTTCTCACCAGGCAGACAGAGAGCTGCAGAGCTGAGCAGCACGTTGTAGAAGCTGGACCACTTGGACTGGGAGGACTTGGAGGACTGGGTAAAGCGCACTGGGACTGTGGGCACAGCTGACTGCTCCTGATGTGGAGCAGGTGGAGGTGGTGCTGGTTTTGTTGTGCTGGGACCAGCAGACTGAATGAGATGTGGCTGTGCAGGAGGCAACTCACTGACGGAGCCTGTGGAAGAACACACACAAACACTTAACTTACCTGTATATTACCAACATTCTGCAAACTGGATATGTTTTTTAAAAGTCTTATTTTAAATCGTATTCATTGTGGAGGTCTCAACTGTGACTGCAGCTGCTGTAACAGTGTCATTTTCCGCAAAGGATTATTAAGTATCTTTGTCACACATATACAGTGATTGTAACATTACACTATGTCTAATACCTCAATTAGACCACCTGTTTACCCTCCAACAGCTGACGGGAGGATTGAGGAGGAAAATGAGTACAAGCCGGACCAGCGTAAACTGGTTTAATTTAGTATCTATTCTTGTCTTTGCAGCAACTTTGAAAAATGTTAACTTGTGTGATTTTGTGCAAGTTCATATTTCTACACTCCACTTCACATGGAAAATACTTCTCTGTTGTCCTAACCTGCCAAAAGAAATATAATGTCTGTGCTAGAACTCTTCATATTTTATAACCATAACTATAATTTCTTATGTCACCACACTAGTCTGTTTCCTTATAATGAATTAGAAAGTTAAAAAGGTACAGCTTTGGAGAGTAACCCATCATCAATATCATACACATGAAAGGCTGCTCAATGTCGAGTTTAATCCATCAAACTAATCAATCACATCTCCGTCAGATCTGAAGGGGACAAACACTTATTGATTTAAAAAGGTTTCTAAAATACTGTTTGTGAACAAAAGTGAAGAAACGTCTGTGGCCAACAACACACACGGCAGCGATTAGTCCACATACGCAGACTTTTTTGGGGTATTTGAAGTTGTCAAATGTTTTTGATCAAACAGCCTCGGGGAGGAGACGTTCAGTTCTTTTCATTTAACAGCCGGGGCAATCTGCAGACGTTGTGTTGAAGCCTGGAGTCAGTGCTCTGTTCACTGTGTTTGTTCGACTACAGAGAAAGAATGAGTCTTTATCTTTATATAATCAAACCTTCAGTTATAAAACCAGGGGAATTAACTAGTCCACTAACCAGCTGACCAGTGCTCCACTAAAGTCCTGCCCACAATAAAAAATAAAATAAAAAACAGATGTTGAAAATGTGAGAGACCCCACACACGACGACAAATTCAGCAGTTTTGTTCCTATACAGCGTGGAGAGCAGTGACGTGACCAAAACAGCACACCAACAGATTCATTCATGAGAGAGAGTGCTGACTCTAACAACTGGAAATCTCACTAAATCTCTAACGGTCAAACAGGACTTTAGAGCCATGGACATGTCTGACGATGGACGCAGTTTCAATCAAAAATCACAAAGTAAAGAAGACAGCATGAGCATGGTCTGTACATGATACAGTGTGAGCTGGAGGTGAGCAAAAATTGATTTGCTGCAGTTGTTGTTCTTCCTAATTCAGTCAGCTCACTTCCCCTTTGGCCGTCGCTTCGTACACATGACAATCCACAGAGTGCGTGCGTGCTGTCCATGGGGTTCCCCCCACAATACAGAATATCAGATATATTAATTGTGTTTAATCACTCTCTACAAACTTCTCACCACAAGAAAATCTGAAAGGGGAGAATCAGGCCTTTATTATTTCATAGTGAGTATCTTCTTAACTAAGTTCTCTCTTGGTGTGCCGGTGGCCTAGTGGTTCGTGTGCATGCTGCATGTACAGAGGCTGTGGTGCTGCTCTGGGCGGCCCGGGTTGACAGTTCGACCTGAGGCTCCCTTCCCTCATGTCATCCCCGACTTTTGCACCCCAATTTCTGACTTCAACCCCTGCCCTGTCTCTATATGGAGGCATAAGGGGCCCAAAAATAAACCTTAAAAGAAATGACAAAGTTCTTCCTAAAGAGATGGATTAAGAGGAAGGTAAAAGAGAGGAGGAGGAGGAGGACTGTTACAGCCAATCAGAGGAGGAATGGGAGGAGAAGGAGGAGGTGGTGATACATGAGGACAGTTTGTGGGATGGAAAGCAGGAAAAGGAAATAAGGAGCGATGAGGAGAAACAGGTTTCTGTACCTTCAGTTGGAAGCTCGGCAGCTCTTCCTCCACCAACCTCCTCACAGCAGCACGCTGCCTCCTCCTCTTCCTCCTTCTCCTCCGTCAGCTTCTCCTGTGCATTTTCAGACTCCTCACATAGACTCCCAGATGAGTCCGGATGCAGCGCTGGTGTGTTAGACTCCTCAGGGTGTGTTTGAAATGTGTTCTTTTCAGAACAAGAGTCTTCGGCAAGGGCTTTGAGTGTGTTTACTTCTGTATACGAGTCTTCAGACTGATTTTGAAGTGTGTTATTGTCAGTGTGCATGTCTTCAGCCATGATCTGTGTTATGTTCCCTACAGTATCAGAGCCTACAGATTGGGTTTCTTGTGTGCTCTTTTCAGATTTAGAGTCTTCTGAGTGAGTTTGGAGAGTGTTCGTTTCATAATAAGAATCCTCAGGCTGTTCCTGGTGCGTTTGAGACTTTTCTACACGTGTGTTTTTCTGACAAAAAGAGTCCTCGGAGTGTGGTGTTGTTCATCCTTTTCAGAATAAGAGTCTTTATAGTCTGTGTGTGTTATGTACTTTCAGAAAAAGAGCCCTCAGAGAGTTCGTGAGGTGTGATGGACTCCTTAAATTGCCTTCTGTTTTCACAATAAGAGACCTCAGAGTGTGTGTGACTTGCGTTATTTTCAGAACAGGAGTTTGTGTGTTGTGTATTATTTTCACAGTAAGAGTCTTCAGAATGTGTGTGTTGTGCATCGTTTGCAGAACAAGAGCTCTCAGCTTGTGTGTAAACTTCCTGATCTTTGTGTTTTTGTTCACCTCCTCTCTCTTCTCCTCCTTCTCTCTCTCTTCTTTCATCACCTGCTGCTCCTCCTCTCGTCTTTCTTGACTTTGCTGCACAATTGTAACTTGAACCTCCTCTTCTACCTCCACCTCCTCTGCTCCATCCTCCTCTGACTCATCCTCTTCCTCCTCATCAAACTCTTCCTCTGTCTCACTTTCATACTCCTTAATTTCTCCTCTCTCTTCAGCTTTGTATGTGTGCCTTCTACTCTCTCTGTCCTCCACCTGTTCTTCTTCCTTCTCTTCACCCTCATTCTCTAACATTTCATGCCTCTCTTCCTGTCCCATCAGCTCCCCCTCCCCCTCTGTCTCCTCTTTCCCTTGCTTCTCCTCTTCAAACTCCTCCTTGATCTCTTTCAAATCATGCTTCTCTGTCTGTTCTGTGCAGTTTGCAGATTTAGTGTGTGTCTTCAGACTCCCCTCTGGATCAGTACCTTCTATTTGCTCCAGTGGCATCCAGCTGGAGGTTTTCACAACTTCAGGAGGAGCAGCAGAGGAGGAGGGGGGGGAGGTGCTGGAGATTGGGGTGAGGATGACCGGTTCATTGAAGTCCTGGTTGGGGATCTCCTCGATGAGCCTGGAGCACAGGACAGTGGCAGAACTGACCTTCTCGTAGGCCCAGGACGAGTGTGTGGTGTTTGTGTGAGCAGTTCTGGGAGTGTGTGTTATAGCAGCAGTCAGTGGTTGAATGTTTTGAGGTGTGTTTGTGCTCACAGTGTGTGTATTGATGCATTTGTGAGTGTTTTGCGGTTGTGTGTTGACAGAGGAGTGTGTGTTAGTGGTTGTGGGAGTGTTTTGGGACGTGTTTGTGCTCATAGCAGCTGGTGTGTCAGTGGTTGTGGGAGTGTTTTGAGGTGTGTGTGCAGCGGTGTGTGTGCTGGTGCGGGCTCTGTGCTGCAGGCTGATGGACTGCGTTAAGGAGCCTTTCTGAGGGGAGAAGCGAGGCAGTGGGAGCTCAGACAGCTCCACATATTCGCCCTCTGAGTCCGAGTCGTCGCTGCTTGCTTGTGATTTCTCAGTTTTAGTTGAAGATGGGAGGAGCTTAACATCCTGTCTTGAGGTATCAGTATCTCTGCACTGATTGGTTGATGTATTTATTAGCAAATCTCCATCCTTAACTGATGATTCCTGATCTTCCTTCAGTGAGGTCCGGGGCTGGCTGATGAATTGTGGGTAAACAAGGTCCTCCCAGGGGACCCTGAAGACATCTCCATTGGCAGAGAGGAGGCAGCGCTCCAACCTGGACGCTCCTTGGTGCTCCCTCTCTCTGTTGACCGAGTCCAGCCAGGCCATGCTGAAGAGAGATCTCAGGGCTATCTCCGACACCTCGCGCTGCTCCACATGATGGCTGCTGGCTGACAAGCTGCACAGGAGCAGACGAGGGGAGGCGGCGACAGTGCTCCTGCAGGAGGCGCCTCGTGCTCGAGGTGGTGGGGGGACAGCAGCAGGAGGAGAAACCAGCAGGTAGAAGTCTCCTGGAAGGAGAAGGCACGGGTCCAGAGGACAGAGCTGAACGACTACCTTCTCATGGACGCACAGAGGCCAGCCTTCATGGCGGAACAACAGACCACAGTACTTCACCTAAGGAGAGGAGAGGAGAGAGGAGAGGAGAGGAGAGGAGGAGAGGAGAGGTTAATTTTTTCTCCCTTAAAACCTTAAAAGGCTTCTTTAACATCGACTTTGATGTGAGTATTTTTGTCTTGTTCTGAAAAGTTTAAATAAAGAATAAATCACTCAGAGAGTGTTTTAAAGTCAGATTCATACATTATAAAGCTGTGTCTGAACCTGAGCTGTAAAACGTCTTCATAACTCTCCCACAAACACTTAGTGACTTCCTGCCCTCTGTGATTAAGTGGGGCACCACCCAGCAGCCGCAAGGTGAGTGACAAACCTGCAGAGTCACCTTAACCAAACATGACACATAAGCCAATCACGCGAGCAGCTAAAAACAGGCAAGAACAGACAGGATCGGAGAGAAAGCGGTCGGATTGAGTCATCAGTGAGTGAGAGTAAGTTCCTCACAGAGTTTAGTCCTGACTCACTGTGATGTTCACAGTTCATTTAGTCAACTGAGGATATGATACACTGTGACTTATTGTCCAGAGACAAAAAGTTATTTGAAGATATGGAATACGATACAACATACCACACAAACATTGCAGCATTTTGTAGCAGTGAATCACTTAGGTCCTCCACTAATTGTGATAACACTTACAGAGCTATGCACAACTAACGGACTGGTAGCCCATTGAGATCATCAGTATCCACTACAGCCTGAACAGAAGAAACAACACACTGACAGGTAGCCCCCATAGATGTAATAATAGTCTCTTCAGGCCTAATGGTTGCGACTTATCAATGGTTTCAACTGACTGAAAAGTGGCCAAGCCTCCTGGGGCTTCAGGGAGACAGCACCCACAGAATGTACGACAGACACATCGTGTGATACTCACACAGGCATCTTGCTGGAGGTTTGCTAAGAATTGCTTTGCAGGCAGCAGGAAGTGGATCAGGTAGCGAAGACCGTCTCCTCTGTAGCAGCTCTCGACCACGTTGAGGACCTGACAGAGGACGGTCGGAGATGTGGCCTGGAAAGGCGGGTAGAGGGCTGAGAGAGCACTCTGGATGCAGCGGTCCAGAGATTCAGAGTCCTGAAAAAGAACAATTAAGCTGAAGGTCAGGCTTTAACCGCTTTTAACTTCACTGCACTCTTAATTTAGTTTACAATTGTTTGTACGCTACACTTAGCGCCTGGCATGATCTCAGCACTAGAATATATTCCAAACCATATTTTACAGAGGATAGAATGAAACAGTTGAAGATAAGAACATTTAAGTCATTCAGCTCTGGAATTATGTTTCTCGAGTGTTGCTCCAAGGTTAAATCATAAAAGCTAAACCAACAGTTGTGAGCATGTGCTTGTGTTTACAAGAGATACAGCTGCTGTCTTTAAAAACACCACACCTCTGCATCACATTCCTGTCACACAGAGAACAGAGAGTCATTGAACGCCTTCCACATTTCAAACATGTCTTCTGTTTTTCTTTGACCACTGAGACACAGCGACCTGCCCGCAGAGAAACAGTCAGACCTGGACATAATCTGATCCTTTGTTTACTCTGCTCTTCAGGTGAATTTACCAGACCAGACCACTCGCCATTTACACCAACCACAGCTTCTTCTATACATGTATGCCTCTGTGCTGTACATAAGTGTTTAGTGAGCTGTTTTTCCTCTATACCCAGCTCTGTAGCTGCTCTCCCACTGCCAACACGCCTTATATTAGCACGTGTTCAATCTTTGAGCTCACAGACAAAAACAAGTTCAACATTTCGGGTTAACCGCCCTGGGAGTGCCCAGCGGGCCCTGAAGGCCTGGCTGGGAGGCCCCGTCTGCCGTGGGGAGAACAGGAACAGGGCAGTAACTGGATCCACTGGTCTGGAAGCTGCAGGTAAAAATATCAGCCGGCACACGACGTCTGGCTCCAGCTTTCTGTGACCGACATACATTTAAATGCTGACTTCAGTGGCTCTCACAGTTCATGTGCAGAAGTTTATTTCTGTTTAATCTTCACTCGCTCCTTCTGTTTGCATGAGAGAATATGACTCCAGGTTCCCTCTTCGTCCTAATTTTAATTTCATCCTCCAGCGTGTCTCTCACAGATATATCACTCCAAAACCCCACACTTGAAGGTGGACGATGCACATACATATAGAATTCTATCATTCACACTGGGAGCTTCCCACAGCTTTTATAAACTACTCTGTTCAGTACACCATTATAGGGAGTCAAACTATGTTGATTATTGATTCCCTTACTTAGTCTGCATCTTACAACAGAGCATGCTCCAGTGTGTGACCCTGGAGTTGTGCACCTGGCAACATCTACTGAATAAAGTACTATTGGTCCTGCTATTATCTGCAGCATCATTTTAAGGTGATAAACTACATAACTTCTGACTACATGCACAATTTCTCAGCTGTTATTATGGACCTTAAGTTATATCTTGTCCGTCAATTAAACAGGCAAAAGCAAAAGTCAGGAGGGAGAAGAAGGGTAATAAAGCAAGATTACATGGAAGAGCTAGAAGACCTTTTTGTATGCTGAGATTTCAGGCTCATGTCATGTCCTTTTAAACACGTCAACATGCTAATGAATATCTCTAATTTAGTCTTACATCTTATATTTCTTTATTTTGGACTCCTCTCAGAAATGATCCAAAGAGAGTACTGGAGCACACAAAATGCTAAAGGAAAATTCATTTAGGTGCAGAGGACTAAGGTTTCAACACACTGCGTCTTCCTCAGTCAAAACCTGTAATGTGTAACTTGTACTACTATCGGTTCTCAATAAATTAAAGAAATGAAAGAAAGCTCTGCATCAGGACTTCCGGTTGCTTTTCTTCCTGTTGTACCAAACTTGTACTATACTGTGACCTCTGCATACCGTTATACCGTTTCTGCTTACTGACTTTCAGACTACTTCTCTAACTAAACCAGTGATCCCCAAAGTGGGGCCTCCAGGGGGGTCCAGGGTTACGACGGATGGGGGGGCACAGCAAGGCTTAATGAAAACAATGCACACCATTCTGCAGACAGCAAAGCATGGCAAACTTAGTGAGGGGACATCCAGGTCAATGTAAGGTTGACAATGAATCTACACCAGACGTCACAGAAACTACAACTCCTGAAACAAAGACAAGGAAATATGACGAGTCATGCCTCGCCCTCGGCTGCACCTGTACAAGAGCGATTAACAAAGAGAGCCACACTCCTTCCTGACACATCCTACCTGTGTCAATCACACTGATAGTATCGTGCAAGTTCTATCTGTGGACATGTTGTCATGTTATTTTTTCGCGCACTAACTATCACATCGTGTGTTGTATCACCTGGTATTAGCTAAAAAAAATAAAGGTAATCCAGGAGGCGGACATGTTGCTTGTTCGACTTGTTGACAACGCATCAGGAACGCGGTTAACTCGGGTGTGACCTCATTCCCAACTATGAGGTAAATGGAACGTACCATTAACAAGCTTATAACAGAGGGGTCTGATGAGTACCTGGTGAGCTAATAACGTACAACATGTAAAGCAGAAGGTAGATTCCCACTGCTTCCAGTTATCAATCATTGTTTTCACCCAGCAACACATGTAACGTTCTCCGTCAGTCTCTGCTGCATTGAATATTCTGGATGTGACTCAGCTGGCCGAGATTCATACACAACAACTGGCAGCCAAATGCAGTTCTGAGGCCAATATTAGCAGCAGGATATCAGATGACACTGGGTGGAGGGTGGCACGGGGCTGAAGGGGGTGTGCGTGTGTGTGTGAGAGTGGGGGGGATTTTTGTCCTGCTGAAAGGCACGATGACCGATTACAGATCATGAGTTGCAAACCGTTGACGCAAGCAAAGACAGAAACTCTTTTGGATCAGAGCGGGAACTAAAGTCAACACAATTTCACACAGCGCCATAAACACGCTTCGTCCAAAAATTCTAAAAGGATTAAAAAAAAAACAGACACAAACTTTTCACAGAAAATAAATTGTCAGCTCGTCTGCAGCAGCTAAATCATTGTTAGCCTTTAAAGATAATAACTTCATGAGTTTACGACTCGTCACTCAGCAGTTAAAAGGTTTCTGTAGGTGTGTTTTGGCCTGCGGCACACTCTAACTACAACCCTGAGCTAAAGAGTTTCATATATACTCCTGAAGAGGTGGGTTCATTTATCAGCTCTCATGGTTACCTTGTTCCCTTTATTTTCAGTATTTTGTAAATGTTGTAAAAACTTAATTTACTTTTATGAATAATGATATTGGACTTGATTTTTTTTTTTTTTTTAAGTAAGATGCCTTCTCTATGAGGGAAAAGGTTGTAAATTATTCTTGGATGTACGGAGCACTTCATTTTCTTTGTACACCATGTTTTGAATTTTAAAGATATTTTTAGGCCACTTTTTGCCTTTATTTTGAAAGGACAGTGTAATGTCAGGAGAACCGAGAACAACTGTTAGGACTACAACCGCTGCAACCACTAGGCTAAACTGGGGCTCCTGCACATATAAATGAAAGCTTCTTTAGCACAAGTAAAGTCAGTGTATTAAAGGGCTCATTTACATTTTTATTGGCGGGTTGCATTAGGCACCAGCCAAATACAAGTGTTTTTTTTTTTTTTTTGCAGTGACGGGTGAATTTGCTCAACCTACCTGCCACCATGGCTGGTAAATAAAAGTAATGTAACAGAGTGATTTGTGACAAGAAACAACGCAAATCAAGCTGCACCGTCCGCAGAGAGCAGAGACAGGTGGTCTTGCATGCTCACAGAGCTCCACTTACTCCTAATGTCAGTATTTTCTTTAATAGCCTTTCACTTGAATACTGTAAGCCTTAATTATAATATATTACATTTTGCTGTCGATTAAAATAAAGTGGACGGTAAAAAAACTTGTGACTGTCAGATTTTTGACTCCAAAAGTAAATGTTCAACCCTGTTAGGTACTTATCCAAAGTCTGTATTTCAACTAAGCAGATTGCAGGTAGCCCGGCCAGTGTTTAGAAAGCAAGATGGAGTTCGGACATAAACACTAAGCTATGTATTGTTGTAGACATGGTCTGCACCAAAATCTGCCCCAATCACCTAAAACTGCTTGACTAAATAAACAATTGAATTGGACACTATCTAATGGTGTTTACCTTGCCATCAGAATCAGAGCGCCCTTTTCTTTAGAATTATGTTTAATCCAAAGTACAACTTCTGTTTAACCGAGCATGGGACGCACAGTCCTCCACCAATCCCAGAAATGGAGGCTCAACCTCTCAGCACATGTTGGAGTGTCCTTGAACAAACTGTGTGTGCATGTGTGTGATTTAGAGGCTTGTAAAGCACGTTAGCACAAACTCAGTGTTAAACTATGTGATTTAAACAACAATAAGCACCAGATCTATGGTGCAGAAAAAAGGGGAAATGAGGGTTAACTACAGCACACACAAAATGTTAATCCAACTGTAGGAATACAGAGTATATAAATGTGAGGATTATGGTATTAGGACTGCAGCTTTGCCTTGTGAAGGAGGGTGAGGAGGGGTGAGGAGGCGGGACATCAAAGCAAGCTAAGTGAGGTTCCCATGAGACTGAAACAGGCCACCCACTCACAGAGCCTGCTGAATAATAACTTCATTATCCTCCACTGAGCAGAATTCTTTGATAAGTTTGTATTCTTTTTTTGAACCTTTCATTCATCTCGAGCTCTTACTGAATCATACAAAAAAGCAGAAGAGGCTTCACTTCAGAGATCATTGACAAAACAAACAGACAATTAGCAGGAGGGCAAAGATCAGAGGTCAAAGCAGTGGATATAAGGGTCCTTCCTGTGCAGAGCCCTCAGAAGAGCTGTGACTTTAGTTTTATAGGGGGAGGTCAGGAAGAGGAAAACCCAGATTCTCTCAAATATGGAATCCATGGGTGATACTGAACTTGTTTGACTGGTTTCATTTGAGCTATCTCAAACTATTTTGTCACAGCAGACTGAAATGTATTCCATTTGCTACCAGAATGATAAAGTTATATTGAAATATCAGATATGCTTTTAGCTAAATAATAATAAAACAATAACTGAGACATTGCCTTTAACTTAAGGTGTGTAAAGATCATG